TGCGATTAGACCTCCTGGAAAGACACTCATTCACGGCGGACATTGATATTAATATTCAGCTGTCACCTGCCGAGCTCTTTTAATTGGTCTGGATTAAGGTACAGAGGAAACTGCAAATGAATGACAGTACCAATGACTGTGGCACATATGCACATCGCATATTAATGGCACTGACAGTTAATGTTCGCCGTGATTAAAATCAATATAGTGTAAGTACGACCACCTCGCCTTCATCACAGCTGCCCAAGCTCGAAGGGCGACCTGCATATATTTTTGGTCCCCAACTTGTGAAATATTTCCCCTCAGGATGCCCATTCGAGATCTTGAAGTGGGCGAAGCGCGAGAGCATGATCTGAGGCCACGACTTATATATTTACAAGAGCGCCCCCGGCACTTGGCCTCGGAGGCTGTCGTGCCAGTAGCACCACATCTCTCCACGTTCAACTGGAAAACTCCGAAGCGGAGAGTCGGAGCTTAAAAGGTTTCGGATACACGCAATCTTAAAGAGAGAGATTGAAAGTCATTCAATTTAATTCTATTTTAATTATCCTAGGTCAGAGACGCGCGCGTCTGAGACTCAAAAAATAAAAAAATCGACGTGCACTTGTTTTCCGTCCGCAGATGGATCAGAGGACGACGCGTTGGATCGGACATGGCCTCTTTTTCGCCGTCTCTGTACGCATCGTGATGCGACATTGACGCCTTTTTTTTTGACCATTTCCGTCCTACCTTTATATTTCTATGTACAGAGCTGGTGTACATACACCGCAGGGGACTACGCGAAAACGCCACAGCGACAACCGACCTCGTTTGGACGGACCATGCGAAGCGTGCCTGACCTGACACAATTAAGAACGGAGGAGAGGATTCGATAGAGGATTATATTTCTAGGTACTTAGTTGGTATACATACACATCGAAAACCTATTACGAATTCACCTACGACTTCACCTACGACTCCATCTACTTCACCACTGAAGCATTCGCGTTCACCATCGTCGCGTTCACGATCCCGAACCACTCGTGCCAGTTGTCCGCCGCGTCCGCGTACATGCCCTCCCAGTCCGCGCACACGTGCGTCGCGCCGGCGCGCTGGGTCTCGAAGTCCCAGTCGGGCGTGTCGAAGTCCCAGTCGTGCGTGTCAAAGTCCGAGGAGGGCGGGAAGACGCCGGGCGGAGGCAAGGGCGGGAGGGCGCCGGGCGGCTCGAGGGTGAGGTTGGGGGCGCAGAGGATCATCCTTGCGTGGAGATGAGTATGAGATACGCGTGGAGGAAGAGGGGTAGAAAGGGTACGCGTAAGAGGAGGACGAAACACGCAGAACGCGTAGGAAGAGGAAGAATAAGGGGAGAAGATAAAGGGAGAAAAGCACTCACTGCCTAATATAATTCAAGCAATGGTGCATGTGCCCGCGCGACATCGCGTCGTAGCGCCCGTCGAGCGCGGCGCGGAGGAGGCGCACGCAGTGTAGTTGGTGGAACATCGCGACCGCGAACGCGCGGTGCTCGGGGCCTAGCCTGCAGTGCGAAATAAATTAATATAAGCGCGCGTTTTGGAATGAAGGGTGCAGAAAAATGCATCGTGCAAAGCAAGCAGAGGGACAATACGCGCGCAAGACACGGTGGGGAAGTAGAGTAGAAAGGAAGGAAGCAGGACGCACCGAACGTAGCCAAACCCCTTGGACGATGTCGTGGCCCACATCTCCTGCGCATCTTCCCCGTGAATGGGGTACCAGCGCGTTTCGTGCGCGGTCAGCACGACGTCCTCGTGCGAGGAGACGGGCCAGAGCTCGGGGTAGTCGTCTCCCACATACGCTGGGTAAATAAATATCAGCTCCAAGGGTATATAGCAGCCGAAGGAGAGGGACGTACTATAGCTCCTTTCGGCTGGCGCGGGTGATGGGCGGGGTGCGAGGAGGAGGTAGAGGTTGAGGAGGGCGGCGAGGCAGGTGAGGATGACCGCCGAGGACTGTACGACGCGCGACGGGGCGGCCATGGTCGAGGTCGGTGTTAGAGCATGAGGATGTGAAATGCCGAAATCAAATGCCGTCGTTACCAATTGAATCTGCCATCAGCTGGTTCGTTTCGGTTCAACTCAGTTCGACTCAGCGCATCAGAGTGACAAACTTCCAAAAGCCCGGACTCCGAACAGATCCTGTTGAATCGCATCAGATCTGCATCGGGAGAGCACGCGCACCCTTTTTATTGCTCGCGTAGTTTTTTCCCCACTTGTTGCGAGGATACTCGAACGGCAACTGCGGCCGCGCCTGCCGACCCTGATGCACTCCCGCGAATCTCCTTATCGACGTCCCCCATCCAGTAGGGTCGCGCCGCGAAGCCTTCAACGAGGTGCGGAAGGTGCGGAGGGAGAAGAATTAGAAGAGTCCATGATATTTCCATTTTATTTTTAAAGAGAAGCACTGAGGATCACCGGGGCGGGACATGCGCACGAAAAAAAACCGCTTTATACTTGATACCGGCGATGCGTTACCGATAGCATGTCATCTTATTCCTTCGCGCCCCCGGGAGAGGACGGCGCAGACCTCTGGGTCGAGCGTTCCAACTTCGACGGCAATCTCGTCGCGGGCGTGGGCTATGGTGCGTCTCCCCCTCCCGCGTTTCTGGACTCCCGCTGACGATGCCGACGACAGGCGTGCTGTTCACGATCACGGTGCAGACGCTCATCCTGTTCCTGCAGCTCCCGTGGGCGAAGGTGCCCTGGGGGCTCGTCACGTATGTCTCGCTGATGTTCACGCTCGCGAGCATCGGCTTCGCGGGGAATGCCACCTTCAATCAGCGGGTCTTCATCGACGACCGCGATTTTCCCGGCGGGCCCAACGCCTTCACGGGGGCGTACTACTCGACCTGGGTCAACATGATGGCGTTTGCTGCGTGCGTATCCCCTCCCTTCTTACTTGAGACGAAAACCCGGCTGAGATGCGATGGATAGGTACATCGTGATGAACTGGATGGCGTCTGCGCTCGTGGTACGTGCCCCCAGTCCCAGAGTCCATGCTATAGCTGACATGTTCGTGCGTTAGTTATGGCGCTTCACCATGTTCTGGGGCAACAACTACTGGCTCAGCCTCTTCCCCGCGCTCATGTTCCTCGGCTCCGTCGGTGCGCCCCCTCCCTCTCTTTTCCCCCCTCTTCTCACTGACAATCGCGCCTTAGCCTCTTCCCTCATCTTCCTCCTCTCCATCGCCATCCCGACCTCCCCGTCCCTCGCCCTCCTCTCGCGCAACTTCGGCATCGTCTACTGGTCCCTCTCCCTCTCCCTCAACCTCCTCCTCTCCCTCTCCATCGCCACGCGCATCCTCCTCATCCGCCGCAGCATCACGCGCGCGATCGGGCCCCAGCACTCGGAGCAGTACGTCAGCATCGTCGCCATGCTCGTCGAGAGCGCCGCCATCTACGCCGTCTGGGGCGTCTTCTTCCTCATCTGCTTCGCGCGCAATACGGCGCTGCAGAATATATTGGTCGGGATGCTGGGGCAGGTGCAGGTGTGTCTCTCCTTTCCCTCCCCTCTCCTCCTCTTCTCCCCTTTTCGTCTCGATACTAACCCCCTTCCCCCCAGGGCATCGCCCCCGTCCTAATAGTCTTCCGCGTCGCACAAGGGCGCGCCTGGTCGCAGTACACCCTCCACGCGACCGCCGCGGAGCGCACCAGCCACAGCATCGCCATCGGGCCCTTCAGCCTCCCCTCGAGCGACGGCGACGGGCTGTACAGCGACGGCGGGTCGCTGCTGAGCGACTTTCGCTCGGGGTCGCTGCGGGGCTTCCGCGCGGGGTCGTTGTTCCGGAGCGAGAGGAGCGACTTTGGGGCGCGGAGCGAGAAGAGCGACGCGGGGTCGCTGTTGCTGAGCGAGAGGGGGGGGAGGAGCGAGACGGGGAGCCTGCGGGAGGGGTGGGGTCCGGACGGGTGGGGCGCGCGCGCGAATGTGGTGGGGGGGCTGCGGCGGGGGAAGAGCGAGGATGGGCGGGTTAGTCTCAGCGTGGGTGTGGGTGGGCGGGGTATGGGGCTGGGGCTGGGGATGGGGAGGGAGCGGCCTGTTAGCTTTGGCGTGGGGGGGAGCACGCGGCAGGATGAGGAGGATGGGGAGGGGCGGAGATGGGCGGAGGGGACGCAGCCGCAGCCGCAGAGGAGGAGCCGGAGTCGGAGTAGGAGTAGGCGACGGGGGTCTGTTTGAGTTAATTTAATTTATACACGGATTATATCAGGGAATAGGTTATACTTACTTCGGATGGGGGCCTGTCGCGGCGAACGCAAGGGCGTAATCCCCTCGTCTGTTTACGCTACCGATATGGGCCCTCGCCACTCCCGGACCCCACACATCCTGGCCCGGGACACCCACCCGCCCTTGCTTGCCCTGCCCTGCCCTTCCGGTTTTCCTCCTCTGCAGGAAATATCGGCTGATGACGAATGGCGGTAAGCTTCCTCCTCACGCTGGCGCAGTATGCTTCGTTATCTTTAAATTTCTCCCTCTCCCTCCTCCTCCAACGATGCCGTCTCGTACTCCATGTACTGTCTAATTCCCATACGTACTTGAAAAAATCTAATTGAATTCTAAGCCGTGTTGTATTATCTCACATTTTCGAGTACAACCTGAAATTTCTCTTCGTTGCGGTGTCGCTTGCTCGCCATCGCCGTCTCGGATGCACGGACCTAGGAGGAGCAAGGGAGCGAGGGAGGCCTGGAGTTTGTGCGTGTTTGGCACGCCTAGGCGACGCGACGCGGGCACGTGCGAGGGATTGGACGCCCTTTTTTGATCTCTCAACTCGTTGCGTTCAGTGCGAGAGTCGACTCGGTGGCGGGTGGTCCGCGCCTGCACTTGTTATCAAAGCCCCAGAGAAATATATAAGCAGCAGGTGCCTGTTCGAATCAGGCTCGAGTCATTTGGCAAACATGACAAAGTTTTTTTTTGGGAGCGGGCATTCCATCACTGGTTTCGCTAAAATATAAATACTTAAGCCCACGTAGACCCCTTTTATTTAGGTCAAGAACCGACTCGGTGGCGGATGGTCCGCGTCTGCGCTTGTTGGGATGGGGAAGAATGATTTGAGCAGAAGGTGCTTGCTCGATTCAGGCTCGAGTCATAAATGGTCAGCCTGACTCTTTTTTTTCTTCCATTCCTAGCTCGCCAAAATATACATAAGCTCACCTCATCTCCTTGTATTCAAGGCAAGAACTGACTCGGTGGCGGGTGGTCCGCGTCTGCGCTTGTTGGGACGGGGAAGAATGATTGAGCAGAAGGTGCCTGTTCGAGTCAGGCTCGAATCATGTTGCTTGGTTGTACTTTTGTTTTTTGGAGGAGCATTTCACTACCAGCTGCAGAACTAGACAATAATCTCATTCACCTTCCAGGCTAAGAACTGACTCGGTGGCGGGTGGGTTGCGTATAAACCGCGTCTGAACTCATTTCGCCCACCAGTTCCTAAAATCAGACTCGAGTCATTTACGATCCTCTGTGATTTTTTCTTTGGAAGGGTCCCGCCTTTGCAGTAATATAAAATGAACTCCCACATCTCCCTTGCGTTCAAGAAAAGAACCGACTCGATGGCGGATGGTCCGCGTCTGCGCTTATTAAGTGCTGTTGAGGAGCATTTGAGCAAACAATGCCTGTTCGATTCGGGCTCGAGTCATTCTTGGCCGCGATTCAGTTTTTCTTTTTTTGGGTAGGCATTTCATTACTGGCTTCGCCGAGATCTGAAACGAGTTCACATATCTCCCATGTGTTCAAGCTAAGAACCGACTCGGTGGCGGGTGGTCCGCGTCGGCGCTTGCTGCGATGTGAGCCTGGAAGGTGCCTGTTTGATTCAGGCTCGGGTCGTGTTTGGGCTGAGTGCATTTTTCTGTTTTTGGACGAGATTTCATTTCCAGTTTCGCAGAAATATAAAACAACCTCGTTCATCTCTCTTGCGTTCAACATAAGAACCGACTCGGTGGCGCATGGTCCCTCTACGTCTGCTATAAAATTGCCAGCGGTGCACTTTGGCAGAAGGTGCTTGTTCGATTCGGGCTCGACGAGTCGAGTCATGGCCAAATATTCGATTCCGGTTCATTTTTGGGCCGAGATTTCAATACCCGCTTCACAGAAATAAGAAAATACTCTCACATATCTCCTCTGCGTTCAAGATAAGAGTCGACTCGGTGGCGGATGGCCCGCGTCTGCGCGTGCTGGTAATTACCAAGAATGGTTGAGCAGAAGGCGCCTGTTCGAATCAGGGTCGAGTCATGCGAGTCAAACATGTCTTTTTCTCTTTTTGAAGGGGAGATTTCATTAGGAGTATTTCCAACAACAAGCTCTTTCAATAACAGTATTGGATGACACCTTTGTGAGTAATATGAGAGCTGGCATCGGATTATGGCCGGATAAACGGTTTAATCAACAGAGGCATCTGGCTCCCAGCAGCGTGGTCATTGCGAACGAAAGGTTGTTGAATAATGGTTGACGGCAATCTCCCAATGTCAGCAGCCGGAACCGCCAGTTCGAACTCCAATCCTCGTATGAGCGTGAAGAGGAGAGCCTTTAATCTGCGCCATCCCAACTGAGCATGCAATTTAGGCTGTAGACAAAGAGCACTTACTCGACAATAGACATGCGATAGCCGATGCACGCACGGGGCCCACCGAAAAATGTCAACATTTGACCCCAGATGCCGGGAATGGATGTCGAAATAGCAGGGGTGCGTTCCCATCTCTCCGGACTACACCATGTTAGCATGGTTCAGGGACGTTAATGGAGCAATCATACACAAATTGGTGTGCATCTGGGCCCCAGATAGTCGGGTCGCGGTTCACGGCCAAAATGGGCACCACGACGGACTGTCCCTTCGTAATCCTGAATGGCAGTCAAAATCGGAGTCAAGAAAGCGGCCATGTAGTAGATGGGACGCGCCTCAGCGTCTCGTGCAATATCCCATTACGATCTTTGTACGGAGTGTGGAGAGGAATGATGTCGTCTCTCGTCGCGATACGGACTGAGAAAATGAACATGTTACATTGGAACGCGACGCAAGATGCATTACGCACAGACGGCAGGAACGGGAGGATCTGCGCGCAAGGTTTCGCGCACCACACAGTCGAGGTATGGAAGAGCATTGAGTTCGTCCATGGAAGGATTATCGCTATCGACCGTCAGTAGCTCAGTGCGTAGGCGGGTTTGACTTTCGGCATTCTCCGCCAGTGCAAACAGCGCCCATGTAGCGGCCGTGCTGTTCAGCAAAAGGGAGTCAGAATTGGAGTACAGGAGTACAGCAGGGACAAGGACTTCCATACCTGGTCCTGGTTGAAGTGTGAGGACAAATTAGTGAAGGTAAGGGAAAGTAAAAAGCGCTAACGTCTCATGTCCAGCCACCAAGAATGTTGGTACCTCTATTTTTGCGTCAACAGAGTAACAGGTAATATCGAGCGGGGAACACTTGCGAGCAACTACATCTTCCTCCGAAAGCTGTTGGGCTTCCGAGATATCCTTAGACATGTTGGCGCGAACTAGAAGGGACAGAAGATCGCGAGACGCTGCGTTATCAGCACCGCTGCCTTCTTCTATTTTCTGCCTGCTGTCATGAAACAGTCTCTGTCCAATACGCCACATAGTAGCCTGTGCTCCGTCGATGATCTGGTCAATTTTTGACTTAGGCTGGACGAAGGGGCATTAGTGTATCTAGTGAGTCAAGGGTATGAATTGCGCACTAGCACGCCGCGCAAAAGAGGTAACTGAGCCTTCAAGATGTCCATGAGCCCAATTCGCTCCCCAGCAGCTGAGATCGTGGCGAACGCCTCGTGTAGCTCATCGCGAGGGCTTTTGGAGTCGGCGCCGAGCGCATTGAAGTCGTATCCGAAGCCTAATGATGAGATGACTTTCGGTTGGAACAAAAAGAGAAGGATCGTACCGGCCTTGCCTATGATATCCATGGTCGCCGTACTGAACTCTGGGAGAACGTTTACTCTAGTGACCCCACCGCCTTCGACAGCTTTTGCAGCCCAAAGATCCCGAAGCTGGATGTGAACCTTGTCAGAGGAAAGGAAAAGGACGGAGGGAAGGAAGCGGTTCACCTGTATCGACTTCTCAACAAAGATTTCTGTTAATCCACGCACTTGGGCTGGGCCAAAGGCTGGGTTCTGGCACGGCAAGATGAGTTGCACAGCGAACAGATATAGCTCCAGCTGGAAATACCATAATTTTTCGCTGACGAAAAGTAATGAGCAACGGAGAGATTCTGCGTAGTCGATCTTACCTGTTTTTTGTGAACATCCTCTTCAACAACGAGCACGCCTGTTGAGGAGAATATATTTACATATCGACTTGACACTCTGACGGTCCGTACCTGGACCAATGAGGCGTCCCCCAAGGTAGCGTGCCAAGGCTGATTTCTGATAAAAATAACTGTTCGCGAGAATGTGCTGCAACGCCTTGGTGTCTGTAGTGTAGAGGAGGCCAAACTAGCCGGGATTTTAGCCAACTGTTATTTGAAAAAAATAAAACATTTCACCCCAAACCAGGTGTTCAGCCTGACGGTGCGTCCATACTGCGCAGTCCACAGTCCTTCTTGACCATCAAACTGAAAACAAAATGTAGCCCAAGGAGGGATGGAAAGTCGCAAATAACGTACTGTTTGCAAAAGTCGCCGCCTATTTCCTACGAACCAATGGTCGGATTTTGGGCCCGGAACATTCCTAAGCGGAGAAGTGAACTCTCTATAGAGGACGTTCAATAATGCATAAAGTGCATAAACTCCGACAATGGCAGCAATCGACCCTGCAGGTGAAAGAAATGGCATCGTGATTCGGAGCGAAGGTTGGCAGGTAGGTAAAAGAAAGAAAGAAAATGCCAGCCGCAGTTTTAAGTCACTTCCAGGGCCGCCCTGTACGTACCTGTATGTCATCAACTGCCCCGCTTGCTATGACACTATCAAAACGAGATTGGGCGCCGCCCACATACAAGTACTTACAGCATTTGAGTTCAGACACGCTGAAAGTAAAGCGCGAGCGGCGTCTAGCAATTGACTCGCGAATAAGCACCAACGAAGGCACCGCCCTATTAAGGGCTTCGTCTCCCGGCTTTCATTTACAGAACTCACCTACGCGGTGGCGACGGATCTGATTTCATTTTGGCTTTTGGCGCTTGGGTACCTTCAGAACTAGGTCCGCACTCGGACAAAAAATTTGCCCGTCACTTGCAACTACGATCGGATCAGATCGTTCAGCGCGCACAAAAATTATGTTACGAACCTGGGAAAGTAGGTTCAGGTAGACGAAGATGGCCCGGCAGAAACCCGACGATATCTCCGGAGTGCAATTCATAATCTCAGGGGGTCATCGAGTCGATTTCCTGGAATGGCTGGGTGAAGTAGAAAATTAACTATTCACGAATCTCAGATGCAGAGCCACCTGCACCAGAATGAACTTGGGATGTACGTTGTCTCGTAATTGCGTGAGATCGGCTATTGTGTGCATTGTACCTGTCGTCCCAACGCTAACCATGACACTCGAGCGCCACGGAGACGCCAAAGAGCCCTGGTCGGCTAGGTAGCGATTGACTGTGTCCGCCAAGGTACCGACCCTGACCGTGCACCAATGCGGTGCCGACAGATCTTATTTTAAACACGGCGGACATTCAACTGTCACTTGCGCTTTGTCGCGCAACAGTCACTTGAACGTCACTTGCCGAGCTCTTTGTTCTGAACAAAGATAGATACAAAGGAAACTGTGCAAATGACAGTACAAATGACTGTTGCATGCATATCGCAATTGACAGGTTAATGTCCACCGTGTTTTAAGTTGGCACCCGGCGCTTGGGACCTATCTACAGGGTCGGAATCTCACTTTGTCTCGAGCTACGTCCGGGCGGAGACGAAAAAATTACTCAACACCTATTAGGCTCAGGTCAAGCGCGGACGACAATCGGAACACCGAACTGAGAACGGTAAGGTCGGTGCGGACAAAATCGGCTGGAGGATCTTGATTACCGGTCTAGGCAAGAACGCGGAAAATAGTTGATCAGAATCTCAGGGGGTCGAGGTGAGTTTCCTGACATACAAATGGAACAGAGAAAGTATCACGAGCTTCAACTCCGCAGCGTCCCGCTGCACCAGACAAAGAAGTTGGAATGTATTTCAGCGCCCAGAACTTTGTTTCAAAGGATTTCAAGATCGGGGGTTGTACTATATGTGACTGCTTACCTGGCCACCCGGGTTAGTTAGCCACCCAACAATATGAGGCTGAATAATGGAGGGATATTGAGCGCTTGGACTTGGGGGAGGAAGTACGACCTCTGATGCTCGTCCATACCAAATTTGGAGGCAGAGTGATGGGTTGATCAGCGCGTCTGATCGCCGATTTCACCGTGGGTATGGAGAAAGGGCCAAATTTGCGGAGAGCTGGATGTGCCTGCTCTATAAAAAAAACGAAAAGGTCGACATAGCAAACTACTGACTGCTCAACACGGACTACAAATATTCATCAAAGCACTCTCGTTGAAGCTTGCTAAAGTTGCAGGCGATCTTATCATGAAAATCAAGCAGGTTTCGTCCCTAACAGACATATCCACAATCAGATATGGCTCACTAAAGGAGTCATTGAGCTAGCGGACAAGGCAGAGCCTGAAGAACACCGGGATGATGTCATCATTGCTCTAGACCAAGAAAAAGCATATGACAAGATTGAGCATGACCACTTGTGGCGGGTGCTAGCGAGCTTCGGGATCCCGCAAGAATTTATTAACACCGTGAAGTTTCTATACAGTGATGCATACGCGGTGGTCAACGGTGAATGCAGCAAATATCCATTCAAAGTGCAAAGGGGAGTGAGGCAGGGAGACCCTCACGGTCTTGCCTTCTTTGGACGGTTTGAAGAACGAGTCTGCGTAAGACTCTGTGGTCTGAGATTTCAAATACCGAAGTGCACCGGCTCCACTTGACCCCGACGTCTTCGCCTGCACTTGCCTTCCCACTATGTCTAGGTTGGTCTAGAGTCTAGACCAATGTGTCACCACTCAGCTCATCGACCGTAATAATGGTGAATTAATTTAGTCTACTAAATCTAAAGTGCAGCGAGCTTCCGCGACATCAAACTGTTCTTCACGCATCAATGACCTGTGAGATTGCCCACACTGTCCCAAAATCTGCAAAACTATCAGCGTTCCTAATTCCGGACAGCCTCGTCGCTGACTCACAGACACCTTTCCAACAATGCATTCTCTGTCCTGACAGGCTCAACCAATGGCTCACCAACCAC